GGCCCGGTATGTGGGGTGTTCGACTCCAGGGGGACAATTGCTGCTGAGTCGAGCCTGGAGCTGTTTCTCACCCCGGCGGCCAAAGGAGTTCAGGGGTGTGGTGGGGGACTGGCAGCTGACATGGGGCACGTGAACTTACTGTGAGTTGGAAGCACAAAGGACAGGTGTCAGGGCTTAAGTGGGGAGGCAGAGTCTGGCCAAGGAACGTATGTGGGGTGTTCGACTCCAGGGGGACAATTGCTGCTGAGTCGAGCCTGGAGCTGTTTCTCACCCCGGCGGCCAAAGGAGTTCAGGGGTGTGGTGGGGGACTGGCAGCTGACATGGGGCACGTGAACTTACTGTGAGTTGGAAGCACAAAGGACAGGTGTCAGGGCTTAAGTGGGGAGGCAGAGTCTGGCCAAGGAACGAACGGGCATTGGAAGTAGAGCAGAGAGGCTATTTTCTCTCTGTGTCCGACAGGGGTGCGGCCACTGCTGGAACACAAGGGCCAGTTCTGGTGGCCACAGTTCAAGAAGGAAGGACCTGCTCTATGCTGAGACTGTAGGCACGCAATTGATATAGCTCGTTAAGGGGTGCTGTGATTCCTGTCTAGAACTTCCTCCATGGGGAATAAAACTGATAATAGGCTAGTCCTGCTAGCAGACACAAGTCTAAGGAGAGCCAGTTGCTGGAAGCTGAAACTAGACAAATTCAGAGAAAGAGCAGATTTTTTACCCGAAAGGTGGGGAGGAGGGAATTAGCTAGTGGAACAATTCACTAAGCATTGTGGTGGATCTGTCATCACTGACACTGTTTCAATCAGGATGGGAGGGAAAAGATTTGCTCCAACTCAAACAGGAGTTGACTGGGGGAAGCCCTGTGGCCTGTATTACACAGCTCCAAGGGGCTCACAGTAGTCCTGTCTGAATCGATAGTCTTCTCAATCAATGAGGCTGGGGCAGGAGAGGCGAACAGCCAGGCCAACTTCGGGGTGCAGCAAGGCCTGCTGCCAGCTGTGTGTGGACTGCAGAAGCAGAATGCTCCCATCTAAAGGTGACTCTCTCCCCATCTTCCTTATTGCGGTGTAATTCCATGTGTGTGAATCTGCTTCGAAAGGGGCCAGCTGATTCTGTTGTGTGGGGGAAGGGAGAGAAGAAACCCCTGTGAATGAAAAGCAGTATATCAGGATTAAATCCAAGGGACGAACCCTTCCGTACAGCCTCTTGCACAACGGGCTTCCAAGCCCGATCAGGCTGGTAGCAGATTGGCTACATCTAGACTGGCATGATTTTCCGGAAATGCTTTTAACGGAAAAGTTTTCCGTTAAAAGCATTTTCGGAACAGAGCATCCGTGCCAATCTAGACATGCTTTTCTGCAAAAAAGCCCCGATCGCCATTTTCGTGATTGGGGCTTTTTTGCGCAAAACAAATCTGGGCTGTCTACACTGGCCCTTTTGTGCAAAAGTTTTGCGCAAAAGGGAGCAGCATAGTATTTCCGCAAGAACACTGACAATCTTGCATGAGATCGTCAGTGCTTTTGCGGAAATTCAAGCGGCCAGTGTAGACAGCTGGCAAGTTTTTCCGGAAATGTGGCTGATTTTCTGGAAAAACTGGCCAGTCTAGATACAGCCATTGTGTTTCATGAAAACTGGAGGGTTTGAAATTTGCTCCCATTCTACACTGGAGTGAATCAGAGTGCAGGACCTTGAACCTGGGTCTTCCACAGCAGAGGTGAGTGTCCAAAACACTGGATTAATGGGGGGGGTGGATGTCTCGTTTTGACCTGAGAAACCATTCATTGAAACAAATCCCTGTCCTTGAAAAGTTTTGTTGTCAATAAATCAGTATTTTCTGGCGATAAAACTCCCGCCCAGCTCTGCCTCTGGCTGCCACTGCCTGTACAAAGGAGCACGGCTGTGATTTTTTTAAATGTAACCTTCATATTGTTACTCGTAGCAACCTTTGTGCTTTGGGCACAAGGCTGACACTAGTTGTGTGTGGGGATTTTTTTTCTTAAAGCACCAGTCGCCAAATCATGCAAGCTTCCCTGGCTTTATTCAGTTTGCATGGGGAAATTTGACTGGAGTTGCTATATTCCTATTCATTATATATATATATTACATATATTCCAGGTAATTTCCTTGGGTGGATAAACCCCTGTCTAACCCTCTTCACTGCAGAGAGAGCTTGAACCATGTGACCTGTTAGAGGTCCTGGCAGCAGGAAGTAAATAAACACCCCACCAAGTATTTATAAAATTGCATGATTTTGAAGCCAGCCTTAAGATTTGGTTTGAGTCCCATCTTGGTATTTTTCACTGGTTGGATTGGCAACGCTGCCTAGGGGAGCAAGGCAAAAGCGGCCTTACTTTTCCAAGTTTATGCTTTGCAGCATTTTCGCTGGTCCTAGTTACTGTCCGGCTATGGGTGGGGCCCTTGAAAAGGGAAATGTGGCTGTAAAACCAAAATTGGCAGAGGATTTGGGGGGGGGGCGCATTGGACCCAAACTACATTTAGTTCCTTTTTTTAAAAGAATCAAGGTCACGTTGACTGTCTTTAAGCATGGCAGGTATTATCCCCCTCTTACAGAGTGGAACACAGATAGAACCAGGCCCTGCCTTAGGACAAGGCGAGCAAGGTGGTTGCCTTGGGCCCTGTGCTTTCTGGGCCCTGTAGTGCCTGGTACTCCTGGTCGCTCGCTGCCCTGGCTAGGAGCCATGCAGCACAGCCACTGTCAGCTTTTTGCCTTAGGCCCTGCACACTCTTTGGCCTGGCCTGGCCAGAACCCAAGCATCCTGGCTTCCTCTAACCACTAGACACCACTCCTCTCCCACAGCTGGGAATGGAACCTAGAAGTCCATATTCCCCCCATCTTCTTTTCCAGGCTATGTCCATCACTGCACCATGCCCCTCCTTTGGATGCCTTTCACCAGGGGGTCTCAGACTGGGGGTTGTGAGGTTATTATATGGGGGTTGCCAGCTGTCAGCCTCCACCCCAAACCCTGTTTTGCCTCCAGCATTTATTATAATGTTACGTATAAAAAGTGTCTTTCTCTTATATGGGGGTGGCTCTCAGAGGCTTGCGATGAGAAAGAGGAAACCAATACGAAAGTATGAGAACTGCCACCTTACACGATTATCCCAGCATGGCAGCTTTAAGCATGCCCTCCTTGACGCATCCCCAGGTCCGAGGTCTGACCATGGAGCTGGTTACTGCTTCCAGCAATGCTAAGACTCGGGGGTTCTAGTCCCAGCTCTGCAGTGGGATCTACTGAGTCTGGGCAGGGGCCCTGGAGCTGGGAGCCAGGACTCGGGCCCTGGCATGGGGACACTTGGCAGGCAGGAGCCCTGGGTTGTGCCACTGCGTGACCATAGCCCTGTCTCAGTGCCTCGTTTTCCTAGCTGTAGAGTGGTGATAACCTCGGCTGTCAGGGTGCACTGAGCTGGGCCTGGCCCCATCCCTCAGCCCGTGCTGGTTGAAGCTGGTAGCTACATAAACTAGATGTTCCACTGGCATCGATCTGGCGTCTGGGCTGACGCTAAGGGAGTGTTGCTGATTGACGTGGGGGGGGGGATCTGCCCCATTGGTGCTACCTGAGAGCCAGGTCGTTCCAGACCTGCCCAGCCACCCACCAGCCAGGGCTGCCCGCTCGGGGGCAGGGCGCAAGCGGCTGGGGGCTCAACAACC